TATTTATATATCAGCTTCCCCAAAGGGAGGAAAGTTTATTTACATAATTTGGATTTTGTACAAGTAAAATTTAGAACGGTAACATAAACTTCACCATTCACTAAATAATTCAGAATGAGCTGCTGAATGCTTTTTTTCCTCTTGAATGTTAATAATATGAAATGAATCAATTTCTATATGCAGCATAAGTAGCCCTTCAGTTTCTGGGTATATTATTTATTCCAAGGAAAGAGATAAGCTGTGATCATTGTTGACTGGTTGTGTTAAATTGGTGTTCAGATTTTCAGTTCTGCAGTATGACTGCAGACCATCCTGACGGTTGTTACCTGGAGCAGGGCAAAGCAAAAGGAGTATGATGCTCGCTATTAGCATCCATCTAGCAGTGTGATTATTGAATGTACTGAACTTCACATCTGCACCTTCTGTGCACTCAGCTGTTAGGTACCTGAGCATACAAACAATTCTAAAAGCTTTAATTTATTATATGTAAAGGACCCATCACTTCCATGCATAAAGAAGAAGGGAGAGTAATCAAAGAATCAGTTTTTGATAATTTACTCAGTGTAGTCAGCGTTCCTGGCTACAGATCCAGAGGTCCGGGTTCGATTCCCGGCGCTACCAGATTTGTTCTGAGAAGTAGTGGGTCTGGAACGGGGTCCACTCAGCCTCATGATGATAATTGAGGAGCTATTTCAAGGAAATAGCGGCTCCATTCTAGAAAATCGAAATTAACAGCCATGGGGGATTCGTTGCGCTGACCACGCAACGCCCTCTATCCGCAAAAGTTGGCACTAAACTTCGCCAACAAGTGGCGGTCGCTCGGTCGGTATAGTTCACTTGCGGGCTAAAATCACGGAGTTTGTTTGTAGTTTTAGAACTTAGGCTTTTGGAAATATGTCATGTTTAATGTTGAAGACTCTCCACTTCAGCAAGCATTGCATTTACCATGTTCAGGTTTTGGGGCTGTTCAGAAGCCCATATATAGTTCTGGCAGTTGGTGGAGGGTATATGATGAAGGCGTGATTGCAAAAAGCAGAGGAGTGGGGTACTATCCAGTAGGAATTGATCATATGGTACTTTTGGCTAGCTGTCTACTCCTCTGGTATGTTCAAACATGCCTTTACACCCCACTCCCAGATAAGTATGTCTAAACCTTGCAATCAACAAAACATTAAGCTCTAAAAATGACATTTTTAATGGCATGATCATCATGTAAACTTATGATGTCAAAGCAGAATTTATAACATTAATACAGTTGTTTTGACATATTTTTGGCTGGGCACTTTTATACAAAGGTCATACTGAGAATCATGAGCAACAATTTTTTGTAAAGTAACATGCTTTATTATTGACAAACCAAATACACCACCTCAATCTGCAGACCTTTCTTTATTTTTCCACATAATCCACTTTGTACACATTTCTCCCAGTGTTCTGGAAGTTTGAAAATTCCCCTTCCATATAATGTTCCAGCCATCCAAAGACATTGACACACTGCTTTCTGAATTGCCTCCCTTGTCTCAAAACGTCCACACAGCTGATCCTTCACAAATCCAAAAAGATGGTAGTCGGAGGGTGCCAGATCAGGGCTATAGGAGGGGTGTGGAAGAACTTCCCACCCCATCTTTGCAATTGCTTCCAATGTGAGGTGAGTGTTGTCATGCAGGATGATGATGTTTCATCCTGGATGTTTATCGCGCAATGCACGACGGAGCTTGTGCAGCATCTGGACATAACGAGCAGCATTGATGGTTTGCCCAGGATCCAGGAATTCAGCCAGAATAAACCCCTCTGCATCCCAGAAGACTGTGCCCATCACCTTCACAGCTGATGGCACTGTCTTTGCCTTCTTTTTTGATGGAGAATGCAAATGCTGTCATTCTATACTCTGCCGTTTCGTTTCAGGCTCGAAATGGTGAAACCAGCTTTTGTCACCTGTCACAATACAGAGCAAAAAATCATCGCCTTCATGTTGATATCTCTGCAGCAGTTCTGAGGTGATGGCTTTTCGCTGACCTTTGTGGTCTTCGGTCAATAACCGCGGGACCCAACGAGCACAAACTTTCCTATAGCCCAAGCTTTCAGTCATCGCCTGTACTGCACTGTGTCCTATTCCAAGTCTTCTGGCTATTGTGTCCACAGTCACATGCCTGTCATCTTGAATAATCTCATCCACTCTTTCCTTGTTGCATTCAGTTGAGGCTGGTTGAGAACGACGGCTCGAGGCTCATCTTCGATGCTGGTGTTCCCATCTTTAAAATGTTTCACCCATCTTCGAACACTGCTCACACCCATGCACACAATTCCATAAGGACGCTGAAGTCTGGTGAATTTCTGCTCTTTCACAAGAAATTCGATGACAGCATGCTGGCGAAACGACATATCGTTGTCGGCCATTTTGTTAGGATTGATACTGGTCACGTGATGCAATCTATTGACGTAACAAGACACTGAAGGTTAATACAACAGCTGGTTCCACCTACCACCATACTCTCTTTCGTCTGCTGTTCCCAGGTTGCATGCAAAAAAAGTTGCTCATGACTTTCGGTACTACCTACATATTAACATGTTGTACAATAGTCAGACTCTGTACTTGTGGAAGCTATATATGTAATTGGACCACAAAAGTGCATCATTATTAATTCATAATTATTTATGATATTACCATATTCATTTATCCATTTATAGAAAAGTAGGTATCAGAGGGTCATTCTGAAGTTCTTGTTTAAGAGAACTGAAATAAAACCTCCAGAAATACAAACCACAAACAGACAATTGATATGGGTAGTCTTTAATCCAATATCCCTTAGTACAGTCTTTTAGGTTGTTAAAGAAGACCTTGAAAACTCCTGTGTCATTCCAGTCTTCTATTCATCTGCGTATGATATATATCTTAAGTTTGTACTAAATGTAATAAAAATTGTATCAGTATTATATTTTCAGTATTTTGTCTGGATCTCATTTTTAATTTTAAATTGTAGCCAATTTATAGGAATTGAATGGTAGCTCTTACATATTAGCACCGTCACATGTTGTGGTCTGGGCTTGCCTAACTCCGATCTGTGTGTGTAACTGTGCCGACAATATGACATGTTGTGGAATGCATTGATTGATCCATGTTTGTTCTTGTTAGTGCGTCTCGTCATGTGATGCTGCAGTAAAACATCTTCGCTGTTGCTCTTCTTCTTGTCTTTTAGCAGTGGCTCCCAACCATAAAGCACACTTTACTTCTCATACTGAAGGAGGAAACTACATTAAATAAAATTCCTTACCTATTTCATTCAAAGATGCAAAGTAAATTAATAAATCAATGCAACAGCAATTTAATTGTTGTTTGTGATCACATAGACTTTTCTCCAACATTTAGTCTTCCTCTATTGAAGTGGTAACCCTGTCATATTATCCTAAACATGATTTTCTGAAGAATGGTGTTTTGGTTTTTGGGCATCAGTCTAGAATTCTGAATACAGTTTTTTTTTGGAGTTTAACTGTTGTCAGAATTTCTTGTGCACTTATTTTGGCTCTTGCTTGAAATAATCATAAAAATGTTTCACTATTGCTACTATAATCCTAATTATCACTACCACCACCATCACTGGTTTCTTTATACCATTGTGCGGTAACAGAGCAAGTTTAAATGTTTGCGGCATTTGTTCAGCTTCTATGGTGGTACTGGTTTCATCATGTAAGGTGTGACTTGGTAAAGGCTGGAAGCCATCAGTGTTTTGTATTAACAATACTGCAAAGCTTTCTTTTCAATCTGAAGCTGGCATGAGCAAGAGAAACAATAGCACTTCAGTCATTTCTTTCTCCAATGTTATTTGTCTTTCAGAATTGTGATAATTCATGCTAGTGTTCTTCTCATCATGTAATAGAAGTAGAGGTTTAATTTCTAATATGTATCATGACTGAATGCACAATACAGTGTAGTTGTTAGATAGTTGAGTGAAACGTAATTTGTTTCTGAGAAAAGTGTTTGTGTCTGTACACGTGTTTTGCACAACTGGAGTGGCACATTTCTAAGAATACTCTTTATATCTCTCTTAATATGTACCAGATGATTTCCATGTGTAATAGTTTTAACTTTTTGAAAAGTCAGTAATTTTTTCTATAGTAATTATGCAGTTAAAATATAAGCACACATTTTATTTGCATGTAAGACAGAAAAATACCCATACAATACTTTATTAGTAGCATAACATGAAAATTTGCACATGAGTGCCACAGAGCTGTTAATGTGATATATTTACACAGATTTCTGCAATGAAAAGTGGATTTTGAATGAAAATTTAGCATAATTCATTGTCATATTCAGTATTATCACATATTCACCATATATGCATAAATATTTTTTCTGTATTAAAATTAGAAAGAGATGTATGTTATGGACTGACTTGTTTTTTGATATTCATTCATTTCTCTATCCCAGAAACCATTTGAATTTCTTTACGATTTCATATTTCATTTTGTTCTACACATTATTGCATTTGCTGTTAATTGTACCTGTTTAGTCAATTGCAATTATGTATTTTATTTTAAGTCTCATTTTGCCACTGAATTTCAGTTATTTGATAGCAAAGGTACCATGATATCATAGAAATTTTGTTTATAACAAAATGGTTATAACTCCTACATTCACAATTGTTGTGTTAAAATTCATAGATTGTGTTCAGGTTATAGGCGCACCTGTTACCCAACTTCTTGCATCTCTGACTAGACGCATATGTGTATATTTTATTACATTGCACGACAAAAACCAATATTCAGTTTTATTTAACTCAGCTTCTAAAACTGATTTTTGGCAGAAGTGTGATTATGGTTGAGCAAGTCCTTATTTGCACATGGATACATAAAAACTGCAAGAAGTGACATGCAAGTTTCTTTCTTATGTTCCAACACTTATGTGATGTTCTTTCGTTTTGTGTTATGTCTCTTTGTTGGTGTAGTTTGTGGTGTGTCTCACGGTTACGAATGGTGTTTATTTATTGTCTTGCCCGTAGCTGAAGTATTTTGTGGCACGTAAGAAGTTCAGAGAAGCTCTTAAACCTTATGATGTTAAGGATGTGATAGAGCAATATTCTTCTGGGCATGCAGATCTCTTGAACCGAGTTAAAAACCTTCAGTTCAGGTAGGTTTATTAATCAGTTCAATGTTGCTTCTTTTTCATCAGCTGTAATCGTATAAACACTGTGTTCAAGAGCTTCAAATTGTTAGCAGTTTTTCAGAGTACTATCCATACTCACCAATAACCAACAGTTTTTAATTAATAGTAAATGACTGTCGCATATGTGTAGAATGTGAAATTTAATCATTGATGTAAAAATACAGAACAAGGAAATTCTACCCACATATTCTTGAAAATTAGAAATCTTTTCTGAAAGAAATTCATCTTTCATTTTGAATATTTTTCATTAAAAAGTCATTGAAAATCTTCAAAATAAATTAAACAACCCTTTCAGTTCATTATCTGGAAAGAGAAATTCATGACTAAACGTTCTCATGGGAATTAAGAGTAGGCTTACCATATTATTTTACAAGCATGACTGTACTTCCAGTATCAGAATTTGTTTAAATGTTAAAAATGGCTGTTGACATTGCAAACACTATACAGGCTTGCAACCTTAGTCATGACCTGAATTTTACACTGGCACTGTTTCCACTAATCAGAATTTGTTTAATTATTATTCACCATAACTCTTTACTTCCCAAAATTTGTAATTATTAAATACAAATTTAAGTTGTTTAATTACAAAACAATTTATTTTCTCTTATCTGGTGGTCTTGAGCAAATGTACGAGATTCTCATGCCAAGGACCCCATTTGCAGAACTGTATGTTCAGGTCAAAACTGTCAACTGTTCAAAAGCTTGCACTTTTGGAATATGAGAATCTGAATGATTTGTGCTCATAATCTTTAAATGGATTTCTTCATTCTCTTATGTAGGACACATCTGGCATGAATACAAATATTTTATATGAAGATCTTGCTACAGACTGTAATTTATAATAAAAGCATGGATCATGAAAATATTCAGATTTTACATTAGCCTTCATGAAGGAATACGCTTACATTATATAAAGGTTTCTGTACTGGAATTACATAATACAAAAAAATGCCTTTGTTTCATTCGTTGCTGACGTTTTCAGAGGTAACTTATTTTCAGTAAATTTAAGTGTGGCTTGCAGCCCAGCTGATAACTGAACTGTTTAAGTGGAAATAAGGTAAAGTTTATGAGATAATATAATTACCTTCCCCTTATAAACAAATAAGAGAGAATCATATAAATTTATACTAACTAGAAATCTGTCAAATTTACAACTCACATAAGCTTTTCAAACTGAGTGCATAACAAAATAATGAACTTTCGAAGAGTAACGCTTATCTCCACACATCTAAAAGAATAATCACAATAAAGATCGATTGTTTCACAGGTTGGACCAGATATTGGGTAAACAAGGTTCCAAAGCAAAAGATGTTTATGCCTCCAAAATTAGTTTAGCCTCAAGAGTGGTCAAGGTTGAAAGACAGGTGAGAAATATTTTGTCTTACTATAAACAAGGAATAAACCCATTTTGTGTTGTTATGATACATATTGTATTGATACATTGTCCAGGATAGCAGGTGCATGTATACATGAAATTAGAATAGATGATCTGTAAAGTTACACAAACTGAAGAAGGATTTTGCTTTGAATGGCTACAACCTTTCAGCAACTTTATATTAGCCCATGTAGGAATAGCATCAACAAGACCAGTTTGTAAGACATTTGAGGACTAGGCCGCCATGAGCCTGTGCAGATGGAAAAATGTCACTAAAGAACTAGCAATCCTGCTACATATGTGGGAAGTTTCAGGTATGCAATTAAGCCCAAAGAGCAGATATCCAGACTGCGGTTTCTTGTTGCCACCCACAGTTTCACAAGGCAAATTTTGGGATAAATTCTAAATATACAGGGTTTGTCTGGAAAGTAATGAAATTTGTTTTTTCGGGCGCAGTGCATTCGGACCGGTTGGGAAGCGGGGGGGTACTCTTAGCTTCGCAACGTTTCCAAGCTCTATCTACCCTGAGCTCTGGGAGCGTCAGGATCGCTGTATCCTCCTGTATCCATATTCGTGTCCTCTGTATCCATGAACCTCCTTCGAGTCTGACCCTGAGACAAAGCACCAAAGTTCCGAATGGCACACCTCGGAGTCCCCTCGTCCGAAGAAGGCAGGAATGAGCAAATCAAAAGTGAAAACCATGCTCATTGTCTTCGACGCCAAGGATGTGGTCCACAAAGAATTTGTAATCCAAGGGTAGACAGTCAACGCAGCTGCACCATGACAACACTCCCAGCCACACTGCTCTGCGCATCCGGGAGTTTCTGGCCAAGCACAGCTTGGCAGCGTTGCCCCAGCCCTCCTACAGTCCTGACCTGGCTCCGGCAGACTTCTTTTTGTTCCCAAGGATCAAGACCGCCCTGAAAGGAACCCATTTTGGAACCACTGAAGCGATCCAAACACCATGACAAAGGCTCTAAACGAGGTCCCCGTCGTCGCCTTCGAGGATGCATACCATGCATGGAAAAGTTGCTGGCAAAAGTATGTGGATGCCCAAGGGGAGTACTTTGAAGAATTTTAAACGTTTGTAATATCTAGAATCATTTTTTTTACGAACTTCATTGCATTACTTTCCGGACAAACCCCAAATGCCAGCTTCCTTCCACATATTTTCTAATTTATAATTCACAATCCCCTGTCATTCAGTTGTGCATAACTAACCGTTGCTGAAAAAGTGTCATTAAATAAACCAGTAATGGTCTTAAACAACCACAACCACCACAGTGCATGATTTGACAAAACTGGCAGTAGAATGATTTCTTTCTTCATTAACTTATCCCTTTCATATTGTTATCTCCTTCCCCCTTCACTTGTATTCCCTTCCCATTCCTTTAAATTTTTCCAACATTCCTTTCCCAATATCCTATCAATTGCAGAAGCTACTTTTTTTCTTCATATTCTAACAGTGATAGAAGATATTTTCAGTTTTCCCCATCTTCTAGCAATAGTAGAAGGTAGTTAGGCTTTTCCTCTATTTTAGCAATGACATTTTGGGTTCTCCCCATACGTGATTAAAATTTTCTGTTTTTTGTATGAAGATGCCTCTACTGTTATTTCTTTTCAGGTGGATGACATTGAAGTGAAACTTGACCAACTCATTGAACTTTATATGGAAGACAGAAAGCGTCTTCTGGCCATACCCCTCCACCATTCAGTAGATTCACCTCTGCCATTAGCTGGTGGTGCAACTGCAGTAGTTACCACTGCAGGGGTAACACCCTGCCCCAATACTACCCTTCACAACCCCCACATCATCACAGTATCAGCTTCACAGTCTGCCACTAGCCCTCCCATAGCCTCAGCAGCTGTTTTAAGGCCAAAGCCTATCCTGGTAGACAAGCAATTCTCAGAACCCAACACACCCACATCCAAGAGCTTCACGGAACCTCAGCCACACAGGCCTATGCATCGAGGGTACTCAGACCTTGGGCACAGAATTAAAAAGAGAGTTACGCTCAGGTGAGTACCATAGAGGAGTCAGATCATTTCTCCCATGTATCAGCATCTCTGTCAACAAAGTATTTCAGTTTCTGACATCCATTATGAAAAATGTCACATCACGTAAAGTAGGACTAAAGATTGTCCTCATCAATTAGGAAACACATATTATGCATTTCTTGTCTTTAGTCTCTCAAAGTTGGATTTCATTAATGTATAATTTTCACTTTCAGAAGTATGCTGTGTAGAATGATGGTTTTCCAATGTTTCATCAATCAGTGAAGTTTTCTTTTTCAGGATTAATTACTGCCTGTTTTATAATGTTCCATTGCTGTTTGACCTCATTTTAATTTTTTCTCAGTTCTGTTCATAGTGCTTCTAATTTTGTTTCTATTATTTCCTGGTACAACTGTGACTATTCTCGTTCCTTTAACTTGTCTACTTTCCATTTTTCCTTGTATAACTCATTGTTATCTGTTGTGGCAAGTCTTTCTTTTAATTTAACTTTAACTAAATAGTGATCAGAATCACAGCTAGGACCTCTCGCTGTTTTAACATCCCGTATTGATGAACCATGTAGAACGTAGATACCAATACATGGTCTGTTTGGTTAGTTTGTTCACTGACAGGTATTTTACATGTTCCTTTGTATATTTTTTTTTTGTAATTTAAACGTGCTTTTTATAATAAAATTATTTGCCATTGCCAGCTAACTTAACATTTTCCATTGTCATTTATTTCAGTATGAAGTGTGTATTTTCTACCCACAGTTTTTAAAAAGGCTTCTGTCCGAATTTGAGCAATAGAATCACTTAGAATCACTAACATACCATATTTTGGTGTTTTGAGCATTCTCTGTGAAGTTGATTATGAAAGGCGTGCTTGTTCTCTTCATGACTGTCTTCTGTTGGTGCATATGCTAATATTAATGTGACATTTCTTAAACGCCTTTGAATATAATTTTACACATCCTATCACTAATTGATTCAAAACACATTAAACATTTTCATGCTTGTGCATCAACTATAAAACCAGCCCTGCAATGTCCAGTCCTAGAATTTGGTTCACTATAAAATACAGAATAGTATTGTTTATCTATTTTCCCTTGCCCAGGCCATCTTGTTTCTTGAATTGTTAAAAAATTTATTTTGAATTCTCTGGCTTCATCTGTAATTTCTACCATTTTTCCAGGTTGTAACATCGACCTAACATTCCAAGTTGCTGTTGTTAATATTGCCTTCCTTTTTTGGTTCATTATTCTAACGCCATGTCATTGCACATATAATCCTCTTGGGTCATTCAGTAATTGTAAAGGCTTCACGACGAGTTTTTTATGGGATAAGGTCATCAGCCTTAAACCCATCCCTTAGCCAGTGTGACTGGAAGTCTTGATTTTGGGGTACTTTACCCCTAGAAGTGTTGTTTTCACTACGATTCAAAGACCCTTCTCCGACCTTCGCAGTTCACAAGCCATACTAATGTCCAACATCTCCACCTCTTAGTACCCAGTTATAGACCCCTCTGACTTCTGTCTTCAGCTCTATACTAGTACAAGAGGAATTGCTGCCTTCTACCTGGGATGCTTATCAACTTCCAATCTGACTTAGGGTTACTCCTTCCATCAGTTCTGCTGTACCAAGATTTCCCTCTCTGCCATTGAGGTCTTCAGGGTAACCCTGGCAAGGTGCTACCATCCAGAGCCAGATGGACCAGGTGTTACTCCTGTATCACTCCCCTCTTTATCCTGGCTTGTGACAGGCAGAGCTTGGTCTCCCAAATATTGGACCCAAGTTGGCTGGGTTAGTTCTTACAAAATATGTTGTGTAATTTTTCATATGATTCCACACAACACATGATACATGGCTTAGAATTGTATGAAATTGGTATAACTCAGTATGCACTATCAATAATAATCCAGGATATCTTCACAGGATCATTTTTAAGCACTGTTGACCTGGCAACAGTGTTCAGTATCATCACTGAACACTCAGCATGGTCATGTTGCTGGACCACTCAGAGTAAAAAACTGTGTTCTGTTTTACTGAGAAGAAATACATTTTTATGGTTTGGTTCCTAGTTTTAACTAAGATGTAATACCAACTGCCAGTAGTTTGAATTTAGACAACCATGACATATGTATTCATTTTCAACATGTATTAACCCTACTACTGTTAGGCAAGTAAAGCTTAGTGTAATGCCTGTGCTGAATTGGTTTCGTGCTATTTCTGCATGAAAATAAAAGGATATTAAGTAGAAATTTTAAATAATGCAGACATAATAAATCTTACCTTACATGAAGTAGTTGGTTTGGGTCACTAAACATGCTGAAGCATACACTATACACTACAACACTGCAATAACCCATTACACTTACAGTTCACTCTTTAAGTACACTATTGAATTATGTACTCTTCTTGATATATTACTGTGATAAAAAAACAGCCATACTTAGCTTCATGCTGAGTGCACCACACCTCTCCCATCTAGATTCCCATTTAGCATCAGAAGTCAGAAAACTACAACTCTGTCCAGTGTATATTATACTGTGTGTGAAAATTGCTCTTCAAGTTTCAGCACATTCAGAAAATTAGATTTTATGATACATGTTTATAAAGATCGCACCTTTAACAATATGGATGCAGCAAGGATGCCTTGTTGAGCCATGCCTGTATTATTATGGCTCAGCAGCATGAAGGTTAAATAAAAAGTATTGTTTTTCAGAATCATTAACTCTTTGACTGGCGCGGGCGTGTTTTAACGCCCGGACGATGCCAGCCGTTCCCTGGCGTTGGCGTGTTTTAACGCTTTGACAATCTCGTCCCTTCTTTGCTCTCTTGGCACTCATCAACCAAAGACATATTTATGATAGTTTTTGTGCATGTTTGTAAAGAACCCTTGTAAACTTTGTGGGGGTTTATATTACTGTCAGAACCCTCGGAGAAGGTAAAGGTCAGAAAATATTTCACATTCATTCAGTTTCACCATAGCTTCTTGCAGCAAGTGTCTTCGTTTTCCTACAGACCAGCTGGAAAATGTTGTGAACGAGATTTTTTCTGATGATGACAGTGGCGATGAAATAATGATTCTTGAATTGGATGAAGNCACAAGGTTAGAAAAGAAACAAGTATCATGTGTGCAGGCTGTGGTGAGGCTCTCTGCAAACTTTCATGTTTCAATGTTTATCACACGAAGAAAAACAAATAAAGAGGTGTGGAAAAGCATTTATTGCATAAAATATTGTATTTTAATTAGTTCCTAAAAATTTCGTTTTTAAAAACCAATTTTTGTTGAAGTTGTTTAGGAAAAAGTAACAACATGCATTTTAGCGACAAGGTTTAAAGGGCCTGCCAGGACAGGGGTGGGATTTAAATACCCTTCGCGCCAGTCAAAGAGTTAATATCAGATCCTTCCACTGGATCCTGAACTTAGTGATGGCCTTGTAGCTTTTGGGTTGGGTACAGTTCTAACAGCTCTTCACTTTAAAATGAGTTTTGTCAGAAAACAGAGCCCTTAGATATGGATGGCTTCTTTGAAATTGTGTTTAATAGATGCAGCTCAGTATTATTTGAAACAGATTTATATCTTCTTGTTTCATGTGCTTCCTCAGTTCGATTCCCTCCCAGTATGTATCGCCACTGTCATCAGAAGATGGGGGCATACATCCTTACCAGCATGAAGGAGAGGTGGTAATTATAGTACCACCCCTCAACACATCCTTGGATGATGATCAGGATGAAGGCAGTCCAAAGACCACAGAGAGCACAAGTAAGTACATCATCATCATCGTCATCATCAGTAACTTCACACGCTCGAACATTCATTTATCTCACAGGTGGATACTGTTCAGAGGAACATGCTGTTTTAATCTTTGGGGCTAAATTTGGAGGCAGCATTTTTTCTTTGAAATGCTGATATCCATTTTCATCATATCACAGTGTAGAAAAAAGTAGTCTGCATAGTTTGCAGATGTGTGAGAGCAGGGTACCAAGGAGAATATTTGGATCTATGGGAGGGGAAGTAACAGGAAGATGGGGAAAATTACATAATGTGGAGCTCCATAATTTGTACACTCCACCAAATTTATATAAGTAGAACACTCTAATCAAGGAGGATAAGGTGAGTGAGTTATAAAGCATACATGGGGGAAATAAAAAATTCATATAAAATGTATCTTAAAGAAGTGAAGTGTTACAGTGTGGACTGAATTTAACTAACTCAGATTATGCTACATCTCATGTGTCTGGTAATGAGCCTCAAGGCTCCATAAAAGGTAGGAAGTTTCTTGACTAGTGGAGTTTCTCAAGAAGGATTCTATTGTGATAAATTTTGAATAGAACGATTTCCAGCACTCCCTACATAATTTCTCAAGACATACTTCATGTTAACAACTGTAGCATCAGGTCTGGAAAATGCTATCTGTTTATCAGGAAGACAGAGAGAAATATGTATGTTGCTGGACTGGAAATCTTATGTGAGACAATGTGGATTTAAGTGAAGGAAGTTTGTGATATTATTTGTGTAGATAATCTCACACATATATATTTTCCAGTCCTTTTTCATAAATCCAAAACATGATTTTATTAATGAATATAAAATTTTTGAAAGTTGCTCAGTATTTGTGATCAGCCAATTTTTTAACAATCACAACAGCCCAAAGAACCTCAAGCTAATGAGCTTTCTCACCATTGTCAGTGCAGAGTTGGTGTCTGCAGTATCAGAGACTGTTTCCATCTCCATCAGCAAGAGTCAAGAGTTGTACTCACATGCTGTATTTATAAACAAAGCTGTTTTCTGTCACAGCCTAGACTACGTGGGGAGTAGTGGACAGAATCAGATCCATGCCATGGCTGACAGTAACTTTGTGTATAAATATAGCATGTATATATAGCATATATATCAAAGAGCTGATGATTGAGACAGAGAGAGAGAGAGAGAGAGATTGAAATGTAGACACCAGCTCCACTTTGTCACATCTGATTGCCCAACAAGACCTCACTGTATACAGTCACCATGAAAACTTCAAATCATATATTTATACTATATTTTCCACAGCTTCATATGATGATTGCTCATCTTCAACTTCCCTCTGATGACACTAAGTCAACTACTAATAATTGACTGGCACCGGAAAATGTTATTATTGTGAGTGATCAACATAGTGTTGTATTTGTTTCAGTGGTACATTTGTTCCCTTCCCCACTCACCCCAATTTGTTTTATGTGTTCTCTACTGTTACATGCTAGAAAACTGATATGCACCAATTGTTCATATCAACAAATTGTTTGTGTCTGTGCACTGTGGGATAATAATACTCTCTGATAACTAGTGGTGAAACATGGTTAATTCATATCTCTCTCACATTCATATGGCTTCATATCATAGGCAGTATAATAAAAATGATTTTCAGAATGACTAATAATGGAACATCTTGTTGCTGATGTAGTCTCGATAATTTATTTACTAAAATAATGAATAAAACCCATGAAAATTTGTTTACATTGTGTTTTTTAAAATATGTTTTTACCTGTGTACAGGTCATAAGTGGCCTTATTTATATACCACGTATCACAGATTCCTGCTAATTACAGTCAACAACAGTGTATGTTTTTATATTACCAGTAACTACACTCTGAATGTAGGCAGCCGGGATGGCACATTCAGTATAGCAACTAGCTACAGGCTGAATTGCTGAAGGGTCAGTGTTTGAGTCCCAGTAGAGACAATATTTTTCTCCTCTCTCTGTCATCCAGAATGGTTCTGGGGCTCTCCCAGCCTTCTGTCCTATGGGTAGCGGAGGCTCATTCCCGAGGGTAAAGCAGCTGGAACATGAAGCATACTACTTACCTCCAACTAACACTGATGTCAAAAATACATGGATCTATGCATCCGCTCCCAATACATCTTCATGGTGCAGTGCTTATTTAGTTGAGCACAGAGACAACTTTACCTTAACCTTTACACAATGAATGTGATTGGTTTCATAATTCTTATTTCTCACCAAACGTTATAAGCGTTGTCAAATCAAGGAGGATGAGATAAGCAGGACATGTAGGAAGTATGGGAAATAAGAGAAGTGCGTAAAAAGTTTTGGCAGGGAACCTCGTAGGAAGGAGGCTACTAGGAAGATCTAAGCATTGATTGGAGGATAATGTTAAAACTTATAATAAATAAATAAGTAGGAGTATGTGGACCGGTTTTATTTGGTTCAGATTAGGGACCTGTTGTTTCTTGTGAATGCAGTAATGAACCTACAGGTTTCACAAAAAGTTTGGAATTTCTTGAGTAGCTGAGCAACTGTTAGCCCCTCCAGGAAGACTCAGCTCCAAGGAATGAGTTAATTAGTTACACAGTGGATCCCCAATCAGAACTTTGCATTTTGTTTCTTACTCCATTATTTCCATTGCCTTATCAGTGTTTGAATTTCAGGTAAATTTGATGTCAAGTTTACAAGTGCTGATAAAAAGAATATATCATGATATCAGAATTAGGCCTGTTGAAACCTGCTATGAATACTACAAAACAAATTCTTTTTATGCAGTACTCTTGCTGAATTCCATTTCCTTTTTTATATTATAATTTTTTTAATCTTGTCAGAGCTATTCATGTCAGCATGTTTTTTTTTTTTTTTTTGTGCGTCTTCTATGTATTGTTATTTGTGGAGTTCGAAGTTTCCATGTGGTTTAATTTATTTTATGATCCTAATGGTGTGTCCTGCTGTCCCTATCATTCTCATTTCTGCTGGTGTCAATCTGTTTTCATAATTTCTTTTCTGTGATTCACTGCCAGAAGTTAGTGATGGTGTAGCAGGTGTCTTCTAAAGTCATGTTCCTGTTTGCAGTTTTTATGTTCAGATATTTTCCTCTTTGATAGCATATATTTTATCCCAAATAATTGAACATTGATTTGTTCTAGTATTCTATTATTAATGCCTATCTTACCTCTAATCGGTTCAATTCCACTGAAAGCCATAATTATAATTTTTTCTAGTATATGTGTGGAAAATTCTGAAACTACATTATTAAATTGTATGAGACATGTAAGAAAATGGAAATATAAGAATAAATAAAATTTAAATCTCCAGCTATGTTATTCACTGTATGGCTATTGCTAGGAACTAAATACAAAACATACGTGTACAGTGTAATGCATATTATGCAAAGGGGGTCTGTGATGTATGGTTTATAAGGGTGTTTACTTTACAGTGACCTGCACATAGGTTGAAATGCACTGTGCCAAAAGTGTACATTACTCAGGGTTGTGTTAATGGTATTGCTGAATAAACTACTGGTATTGAGGGTAACCCATATTTAATTTATACACATAATAGTGAAATGATTCCCTATGACCATCTATAACCACGAGGTATGACATAGGATTCCATAATTTCGTTTTGATTTATGTCATGAAGTAAGGTTACAATACAGCTGCTCTACATTAATCTAATGGTGGAACAATTGTATTATACCAGTGACTCAAAATGTGTAAAACGTATGAGATGAAGTAAGAAATAAGGACAATTTTAATTTACCCGAAATGTAATGTTGACAGCACTAAGAAGAATGATAGACATAAACAATATCCATTTTTTGCAATTTGTATCTACCATGGCCTCTTGATCATTCATGCGTGCATTACCCACCAGAGTTTTAGAATCACTTACCGATTATAGCTACCTGTAATGATATAAGTTTTGCCCATTACATCTGTTTTAGTAAAATGCATCAGTGATGCTTTAGAATGATTTGCATAGGCTGCACCATCTCACTCTGTTACCAATTTCTACTTCATTATTTTATTGCTTTTCACGCATGCTTATTAACATTGAATTAAGATCGCTTCGTCTATTAGGTATTTATCTTATTGATTAGCAACTACCAGCATGGCCAATAAGTAACAAGTGATTTTTCATGATTGCATCCTGCATTGATATTGCACATTTTCAGATTTTTAAATTATCCATTTTCTTTAATTGTTTGCATTATTTCTTTACTTCATTATCACAGATAATCTGGAGTTCACTATAGTTTCTTTTCTTTGCTTTCTGGTTAATGATAATACTGTGACATGTTTCACACTATTGCACCATTGATGGAAGGCACTGAAGAAGAACAATAATCTGTGAAATAATTTCTATAGTCAGAAGGTGTGAAAGCTAGTGAAATATGCAGAAGAATGGCAGTTCAGTGTGATGATACCTATATGGAAATGGGAAATGTTTAAAAAATGGATGGAAAGATTCAAAGAAACAGATGAGTGTTGTTGATTACATGCATTCAGAGCAGCCTTTTACTAAGCATGTGTTGAGGTTAAGAAGCAAACCAATCAGTGTTTCCCAGACAACTGAGTAATTAACATTTATATAATATATGAAATGAGCATCAGTGATGAAGCAATTGATTCAAGGGTTCTGAACTTTGCAGTAATGCACCCCCCCCTCCCCAAAATAACAAATAAATTTATGTAAACCATCTCCCCCACCAATCCCTGCCAGTCAGTGGCAGGTGCAGTTGTGTATGTTGGTACAGACTGCCATCAGGCTGTATGGTGACAGCAGGAATCTAATGCTTCCACAGCCTCTCTCCACCTACAATATGCTATCGAATGTTCTTGCATGATCACAAAAACATTCGTGAAGCATTTCACTGGCTGCAGCAGCATTTTCAGAAAACACCTGTATTAAATCTTATTATGTTATTGACTTGCCAATACTGTGCATGAATGCAACTGTCTCTAAAATAAGAGTAATTCTTGAGAACTTGGCCAAC